GGATGGGTTGGAGAAGATCCTGTTCTCCATTGGAGACTTCGATTTCATATTTGTCGAAACGAGTGTAAAGGGAGATGGAGTCGACCTTTGGTGGGGCCTTTTGTTCTTTGATCCGAGCAGGCTTTGATCCAGATCGAGAAGTGGTTGCCTTTTTGGTGGGTCGTGCTCCGGTGTCAACCATGTTGTGCCCTTGGGAGGCCGCGTGAAAACATCTCCAGGCTGCTGAGACTTCTCCATGGATGGTGGCGACGCGTCCACTCTTGGTGTAGAACTTCATTTTCAGATGGACGGTGGAGGGTACAGCGGTCAGCTCGGCCAATGTCGGTCTCCCCAAGATGCAGTTGTAGAGAGACGGGCATTCGATCACCAGAAATCGCACCTTGACTTGTCAGGATGTGTTTTCTTCCCCGAAGGTGACAAAGAGCTCCACTTAACCTCACGGCTTGGAGGTTGAGTTGTTGAATCCTTGTAGGTCGGACTCCACGTATGGTGATAGGGGGACATCATCGAGTTACAGGGTTCTGAACAAATGACTATACATGGCATCGATGGAACTCCCCTCGTCGATCAAAATACAATGGAAGTTAAAGTTGGCCATCCTCGCCCTCACCGGCAGAGGAATGCTCGAGTTTGGGGCTTCGTCAGGCAGCTCCTCCAAGTAAAAGGTGATTAGTTTAAATTTTCCTTTAAACCTTTCGAGCGTTACAGCCTGGACCAGAGCTGCGTCCACCAACTCGTCGAGCTTCCTCTTCGTCGAGTTCACTGTAATATCGTTGAATCCCCTGCCAGATATGACCATGGTGGAGGGAGTTTCTTCCATCTATTGTGCGTAGACTAGGGTTCATCCTCGTAGCTGTCGAGAACATGGAAGTCATTCAGCCTCGTTATGGAGAAAGCCACCTGGACGGGGCCTGATTCATTGGATGGTCGTGTTTCTTCCTCGACCTCCTTTGCCTTACGGGTGTCTCGGTGAACAGTGTCGTTGCGTCTGTACTGCCCTAGTCTCCCACCTTTGATGAGAGTCTCAATGGCATCCTTGAGGTGGACGCGATCTTCCTTCAAGTGCCCATGGCTTTGATGGTATTGATAGTGTTTTTTCTGTCAGCCTTGGGCTTTGCAGGAGTAGGTCGATGATGTCTGACGTCGTCGTCCTTGAACTTGGTGTTAGAGCATTCCGCAAGGATACACTCGAGGGAAGCGGTCAGCGGGATGTACTCTGTGAAATGTTCAGCCGGTCCTCTATGCTCACGAGAATCGCGCGATTTCTCCTCCATTCTCTTCTCCCTTGTCCGTCGAGAAGATCCCACGTCTTGGTGGCATGAAGTGTTTGCCGGTATGCGGTTCCTCGACTCACGGGCTTTATTGGACACTTATTTCTCCTCGTAGTCCATATAGTCCCTGTCCTTTTCAAGGAGAACGTCGAAAGACCTGGGGGCTCAATGCCGACGGCGTTCCTGAATTCAGTGCCCGGGAGGAGTCCTCTCTAGAGAAAGTACCTTTTCATGTGATCGGTGCACGGGACCTGTAAGGCCTCGCAGTTGAACCAATCAATGTATTCCCCGAGGGTCGCATCGCTTCTCTGGATGATTTCCTCAAGGGCGGCCTCAGTCTTCGTATGTCGACGAGATGCTATGAAGGAGATGATGAACTGGTTCTTGAGGTTCCTCTATAAGGTGATCAAACCTGTGGCGAGGTTCTTGTATCAGTCCATGACTGTTTTTCTCAAAGTCGTGGGGAACAACTGAAATAGGGCCCCCGACATTATGGTAATAGAGCATTGCTTTAAACCCATCGATGTGGTCGACAGGGTCTCTAACTCCATCGTACTCTTTAATAGGGGAGGCTTCTCCATTCCTCTAAGAATGGGAGCCTCCATGATTTCTTGGGATACTGGACCGCAGGGTCATCTTCGTCACTTCTGTCTGGAGAGAAGGAAGGGGACCGGTTGTAATGACAGTCGTAGTGGTGGTCGTGGCTACGGGGAGGGTCCCTTGTCCGAGGTTGTCTTTCTTTGTTTCCCCTATTTCTGTTGTTCCCAGGGGATCGTCGCTCTCTGCGCGGTAGGGTGTGAACGCACCTCCCCGTATCTTTGGGCTGGTCTCTCTCCAACGCGGGTTGTCGACCAGTTTGTCGCGGAAAGGGGTTGCGCAAGATGTCCCGTCTGCGCCTCCGCGGGAGAGACTGTGGATGATCTTCGTTGTGTCGGGGAGGAGGAGTGTTGGGTCTTTTGTGCCTTCTAGGGGCCCGACGAGTCTGCTCGAGCATTCTCAGCCGCTCACCCTGCGCGAAGATCATGTAGTTTGTTTGGTTGATGGTTGCGAATAGAGCTCTGGTCGTGGTGTCTGCATCAGCTAGAATGGGGACCTCCTGGAATGCATTTGGTTCGTAGTTCTGGGGGGATGATAGTCGTCCTCGTGCGGTTTCGAGCAGGATGATGAAGAGGCGATCAGTTCTTCTCTATAGTTTTTCTCGGGATCAGGCATGTAGATGTCGTTGTCAGTGTTGTTGTTGGGATCGGCGAGGTGGGCGTTTCGATTATTGTCGACAACTTGGTCGGCCATGACAATCGTACAGTTTGATGAAAGGTTGCTTTGGTCTTTAGAGGAAGACGAGGAAGCTAGTTTTACACAGACGGCGCCACTGATCGTACCTGACTAGATGGGATTGTCAAAGCCTTCAAGCTTTGAGTCGAGCAGCAGTTGAATGTGAAGTGGGGGGTACCTGCAAGACATTCTGATGTCAAAGTAAGTTTCAGACCGAGTGTTAGCAAGTATGAGAGTAATTGAGTGTGAATATCAATACCTGACCCTCTCAAGTGAGATGGTATTTATAGTCCCCAACGTTGGATCAAAGTCTTTAATGATGGGCCACGATGAGGCCCAACAAGAAAGACTTTCAGGGCTTACGTGTGTATGGAGTCCAGCACGTGGTCTCCTCCCTAATCAACTGCTCCGAGAAAACAGGAACTGAACTCGTTATTTTCGGAAGGGAGGATGACAATAATGATATAGACACGTGGGTAACGTCCTCCTAGCAGACACATGAGAAAATATCCAACAGTTATTAGATTAAACTGCATGCTTTTGGACCTAATAGAAACACTAGATTGAATCTCTCCAACAGTGAAACAAATACAGATCTAATCAAAAACACCATTAAAATAATTTATTCTTTCAACCTTGCATGTTTTGGTTCCTACTCAAAATAAGTTGATAGCAAAAACAACAATAAAATGTGTGGAACATGTTAAAAGACTAATTTGTTTGAATTGGTCTTGAGTTATAATTTATGGTGTACCTTGCATATTTAAAGTAAATTTTAAAAAGTTAAAAATGTTTATATATATTTTTGTGTGAATTTATAAAGTGGATGAGGTGATTTTTTATGTTATTGGTCGTAATTTGTTGGTGTGATACTTTGAATTCCCTACCTTTTTCATATGATCCTTCTCTAAAGAATGTATATTTTTATGTGAAGTTAGGAGGTGGATCACCCTAAGTAAGTGAGTTAACTTTCACGTTATTAGTAGTAATTTGTTGGTGTGGTAATTTGGTTTTCCTACCTTCTTCTCATATGATTACATGTGACAAACATATATGTTTACTCTATTTAAATCTGTTTTGCAAAAATTCGAAGAAAAAAAGTGTGGTTGAACGAACATAGTTAAAGGTGTGAGTCTAAAATCTTATTACACCCCATAAAAAAAAAAAATAAGGATAGGGCTGAAGCGGAGTTACAAGTATTGCATTTTTCAAAACTAAAAATAAATAAATAAAAAAGATTAATTTCAGCACCCGCAAAAGAAACGGGATAGGGCAGGATAGACACTTTAGAAGGTGCAGGCCTAAATTTTTATCTGTTCTACAAATAAGTGTGTAGACATATCCAACGAACCGGACCGTTCGACCACCTTCTCTAAATGATGTATATTCTCATGTGAATTTATGAAGTGGATCATTTGAATAGATGGGATAGCTTTCATGTTATTTGTCATAGTTTGGTGGTGTGGTCCTTTAATTTTCCTACCTTCTCATATGTTTCTTCTTCAAGTGATGAGTGAGTACCTGCACATACATTTTGTGTTCAATTGAATTTTTTTTTTTTTTTTTCATCTAAATAGAGGTTTGAAAATTTTGAAAAATGAAAAGAATCTCAATCTTAGAGTTAGAGGCACGATAAATGGGATTTTATATTATGCCAAAGAAGCGTATATTCTTTCAGTGAGGACTGGGCGCTGTGGGTTGGTTAGGATTATTCCTAATGAATGCTATTTTCTTTGTCATCATCAATAAACACTCATATTTCCACATCTCATCTTCATAAAATACTTTTTGCTGATTTTATTTTCTGGTTTGCATCGGTTGATAAAGTAGAAATAAATTGTTCAATGAAATTCTTCTTAGACACTCTCTTGCATCGAGTTTTATTTTTGTTTGTAATATAATTTTATGAATATTTTGATAACATCATTTTATACTCCTCTATCTTTATTATACAAACAATCCAATATTTCCTGGAACTCCATCACAAGTAATCATGAGTATTGGTAAGAAAATATGAGACAAATTTTATGTCAAACACACACATACTCAACAGAAACAGCCTGGAGAAATTTAAAGGTAATGAGTGAATAGATAGTGTATAAATGCGAATGACTAAAACAATGAGTTTGCACAAATAATGTAGAGGTTTATTTTGGCCCTTTTGGGACAGTTTCCTCCAACAGAATTATAACAACAGTCCCACCAGAAAGGGAAAATGGTAATCGTTGAATTGATATTATATCATATCATAATGATACGAATGAAGGACAGAACAAAATTGTGTTGACATTTGGCAAAAATCGAGTCAACAGCAAGGAGGTAACTGCTTGTTTTGGAAAATAATGCTTCGCCACACTGTTTATATTGTGTTTGCTCATGTGGCCTTGATTTTTTTGGTCTTTAGCATTAGGTTGAATCCCACACATTGCCGAATATCACCAGCTGAGAAATGAAAACTCATCTAGTGTCATCATCACTATCAAGACCTGAATCAATCTCCTCGCACAATTTCTCAGGCATAGTTGGATCCGCAGGAGATTGGTAATCAATAGATTGTAAAAAGTTGAAATAAGCATATTTAATGTCAAACTGCATATCATACCCTGCATAGAATAAAACTTGTATCAAAATCTCTTATTAGGGTTGGATATGGACCAGAAAATACGAAGATTGATCCTTACAATAGTTTACAGCAATAGTTAACTCTCCGTCATCCCCACTTTGTCTAACGTGATGGAACCACATGCTTGGCCTGCATTCATCAAGTTCAATAGCGTTAGAGAATACAGAATAACTGAAAAGTACAATGCATCATGAGTGTGTGAGATCAGTATTCTATTACACCATCCAACCGAAGAAAGAATAAAAAATAACACAGATAGATACACGATGCAATGCACTACAAAAGAAGGGAACCATACAGGTAGAGAATCTCTCCAGCCTTGACAGTACACTCAAAGGGTGGAGGGCCATTGAAGTATAAAGGAAACTTTGAAATCTCGTCCTCCAAATTCTCCGGCGAAGGGAAAGGGTCTACACTACACCAAGGCACATACCTAGTTGGCTTGTCAAGTTCCAAATCAAACTCTCCAGTTTCCTACGGCATAAAAAATCCACATAACCCCAAATGAATTAAACTCCAAAAGCTAAAACATTGGCCCTGTTTGGACAAAGAACTTGATTCAGCGCTTATAACAGAGTAATAAACACTTCTCATATAAGTTCTTAAGTTGGTAAATAAGTTCAAGTAAGTGAATCCAAATAGTCCTAGAAACTTCACACCCCATGAAATCAACAAGAAAATTAATTGTTTAAACAAAAAAGCAAACGAATTAATAGATTAAATAAAAAAGCTAATACCAGAGAGTGTTTGTAAGTAGCAGCAGGGTAGTGACGAATGTAGAAGCGATGAACATCAGTAGGAGGAAACAAGAGAAAGCGTTTCTCGCCAGTAACAACAGCATAGAGATTCTCATAATGATCCTTATGAAAAGAAGTATTCGAATAACGGTTACCAATCCAAAGATTAACCGCTTCCGGCTCCGAACCAAAAGCTTCGGTAGCCCAACCAATATGCGAATCACAGTCTCCAGCAAGAGAAGAATACTCCGAACGAAAACAATCATTCTGCTGCTGCGCGTACGCTACACATTTCGACGGGTCAGAGGACTTGATGAGGCGAAGCGCGTCGGGGAACGGGACGCGCTCGACATGCGCGGAGGCGAAGCAGAGGGAGGAAGAGGAGGGGAGAGATGTAATGGAGTCGGCGGCGCCGGTGGGGGTGAGGTGGAGGGAGACGGTGGAGGAAGATAGGGTTTGAGTGAGATAAGAAGGGTTGGTCCATGAAGAGAGAGCTGGCCAGTGATTGATGGAGTTGGAGATGATGCAGGGTTTGTTTGGGTTGATGAAGTTTCTGAGGAATTCAAGTGGTGTTGGTGGTGATTCTAATCTTTCTACGCTTCCATTGCTTCCTAAACTTACCTCTCTAACTTCTCCCCATAGTTCTTCTATCTTCTCCTTCATTGTCAGGGAGATTATTTTATGCTCTTTTGATCACTACTCTAGCAATCAAATCAAATGGGCACTGTGTTGTCTAATGTTTGTATATGCATTTATCTTTTTCCATTTAAGTCATAGGATTTTTGTTGGAAAAAAATGTCCTAGTTGGAAAGCCATTGATTCGAATATTGTAGTATTATAAGCGGTTCAAATTGACTATCACCTTAAAATTTTTGACGACTATGCTCGCTCATGTTAATCCCTAAATCGATTACCTAACAATATTAACGTCTAATAATGAACTTGTCTTTTGGATTTGCCTGTCTTTGTTATCTTCGTACAGAAGTGTAAATTTGCCTACTACTAACTAGCCTTAATGCAGAGGTGACAGTTTTTGCTTTAAGAACTTTCCTATAGTTAGTGTTATATTTTGTAAGGTGCTATTCTCTTGTTTATTTTTAGTAAAATGGCATTAAGGCATGTGTACCATTTGTGGCACAAAAACAATGTATATATTGGTCAAATAACATCAATTTTGTGTGAGATTTTGTGCAAACTATACAAATGTAGTACTGCGGCAAGCAAAGTACATCTCAAACGCTAAACAACTACAAACTGTGTGCTGGATACAATCTCTTGCATGTTAAATCTGTCTTGAATTCTTTTTCCCAATCATTTGCCGGTCCTTTCACTGACATTGACAAAAGGCAGGTGAATTGGCAATTTGGCTTGTGGTTTTAGTCACACCTTGTAGCTTCAACAATTTGTAGTTGTCTACCTGCCATTGCACCATGGAATGGGCTTGTCAACGACAATGGGAAAGTACGTGTTCGTCACAGATGTCTAGGACCTATACATTTTGAGTACATCTTGATTCTTCGTGAAAAACAATGCAGTAAGTGATCAGGCACGAAAAACCACCAGCCATTCACTAAATCAGTAACTCACTCCGTGTTGCCTGGTCGTATTCTACTAGGAAGAGGCCTTGCAATAAGCCCGTCTGTGATCCAACCAACTGACTCTCCATCATTCCTAACATGATCGAATTCCCTTTCTGCATATTCTAGAGATATCTGCAGCCTCCCGCCAGGTTTGCAGTCATAAAGGGATCCTCTTCCTTCAATTCCTGCATTCTTCTCTAACCAATAAAGATAGTTGACCTGAAACAATGCCTTCAGCATATCCTGCTGTGAACAGTTTTCTTTAAGCACCACCTGAATCAGGAGCATGTGTTAGTTATGACCCATGAAACACAAATATAAAATGTTTGTCAAATGAATATGGCAATCAACTTACACAGAATTTTCCAGAATGCTCAGACAAAAGGTAGCCTTCATTTTTATAAAGTGAAAAGAGAGCAAGCACTTCCTCCTTATTGTTGATAATTTCACTGAGTTTTGATCCAAGCTGCAGACGGCTTTCAATTTCTACAGCTGCATCCTTTGCTTCAGATGATAAGACAGTTGATTGTGCCTATTATGAAAGTGAAGTCATAAGTAACGCATTGTACAAAACAAAATACTAATCATTTTTAATACTTTCCCACATGTTTCATGTCCAATACTCAGAAATCGCAAGATATAAACTAAAACCAAAATAAATCAAATTAATCTTTGCGTGCAAATGGTAGTAGTAAATTTCTAGGACTGTTGCTTTTAAGATTTAAATTCGTATTAACTAGAACAGAAGAAATATTAACTCACTTTGGTTGCAAAATATGCATTTAATATTGGTACAGCTGGAAATAGCGGTTCTTCAGCATTGACCTCTTTAACAGGAGGAGCCTGACCACTCAGTAGATACTCACTGAAAACCAAACCTGGTAAAATAATCAATAAAATAGGTATATAAATTTTGACCTTTTAACAAACAAATCAAATTCGAGTAGCATTTCTAGACTCCAACTCCTCCAACAATTTATTAAAAAAGTTTTCTGAGAATGCTACCAAATTGCAACCTATAAGAACTTCAACATTCTATAAGGGCAGCCTGGTGTGTGCTATAAGCCTCCTTCCATGGCAAAGTCCATGGAAGGATGAGCCCATTTTAGGTCTATTATAGACAGCATTAACTTGTATTTACAACATCATTCTTTGTAAGAGTAATAAAACATAGCTTCTACAAAATGGTTGTGAGAGATTTAAGAGAGATTAGAAATTACTTGCACGATAAGGATTTAAAGTCCGTATCTGAATGGACTGGTAAGACTTTAGATTGGAGTACATGTGGATCCAAGTCACGATGCAAAAAGAAGCAAGAACAAGAGGCGTAGAAGAGCCTATGCAGTTACCCAGACCTATTCCAAGCCCTATACCAATAAATCTGCTTGCCATTCCTTGAACTTCACCTTTAGCAATTACCTATAATTTGTAGTTATTTTCAGAAAGAAAATAATCCATATAAGTAAAAGAAACAAATAATACATTATTCATGCCACTAGTAGTAGTAGATGGAGATCTTTCAAACAATAAATTGAAGTTATTATTGAGCTACTGCAGTTTCATTAAATAAAAAATTTAACTTAGTCAAATTGCAAAAGCTCACCTCAGCAAAATTCCTTTGAGCTGCAAAACCAGCAAAGAAACAGCTCCTGGTAGAAGCCTATGATGAAAAAATTAAATTCAGTTTAATATTAATGTTAAAATACCTAAATTTTTCAATATTCATATTTAATTTGCAAATAAATTAGGCAAAGGAACAGAGAAGTTACATAATGGTGCCAATTCCCAAATAGACAAAAAGATATATTTTTTACTCACATTTTTACCCGCCCCGATCACACAGCTGAGTATTTTGGTGTTAGCTTCCACTTAAATATAAGTTATTTCTATATTTCTATAACAAGAGATGTAATAAATTCAAATTGTTTTCATGTAAGTTATTTTCGTTAGCTATTCTAGAGAGCTGAGGGAAATAAAGCTTATGGACATCTCATAAGTTGTTTCTATAAGCTGTACGAAACAGTCTCACAAATGTTTACGTCAATTCAATCCAATTGGCCCCTAAATTAACCTTAATAAGGCTTAATTGAGTATATCCAAAGTCCAAACACATTGCGAAATCGGTTGATAGATAAGTTTCTAGAGGTTCATACACTTGAGTGGGTGTTATAGAATCATTGCATAAAGTTTGGCTTCTGCACTACCTCAGACATAATTGACCATCCAAAACAAAATCATATAAAGACGTTGCAACACGAAGTGATTAGTTTTCTAGAGCCTAGAGGTTCATATATAATTAAAACTGTCATCATCACCTGAATCAAAGAAGCAGCGGAGCGAGAAGCACCAGCAAAAGCACCAATAGGCACAAACAAATGAGGAAAAGCAGGAGTACACATCTCCAAACCAAAAGCAGCATTTTCAAGAAGATCCGCAAACAATCTCCACCCTTTAGGATTAACATCAAAATGCCGACCGAAATCAGACAACAAAATCTTACTAAGATACCCAATTCCATCCTTAAGCACCCAATTAATAGCAGCAGCAGTTGGAATCGCCCCTTTTCCCAATCCAACAGCATAAAGCAAAGCTTGAGTTGCCAACACTCCACTAACCTGACAAGCAACACCTTGAACTCCTCTCCACAATGAATACTCCAAATAATCACTTGTCACACTGTTAGGAAAACCTTCAGGGAGCATCAACCTCACCAAGAAATCCCTGCATTTGTTATATAGAAAGATTGGAACTTGTGGAGGTTTTAGGGAGGATAATTCGGAAAATAACCCGGGATTTGAAGTAATGAAAATGTCTTTTATATGATCAGGAAAAAGCTTGATCAAGTTTCCACCTTTCACTTCCCAAATGGGTTGGGTCAAAATTTCATTCTCAATAGATGATGATGTAGAACTACGGTTATGGTTATTCGCCATTGCGAATTTAGCGAGAAGGAGTTGGCAGAAACAAAAGGCAACGGAAGAGAATAGCAAGGCGAGGAGAAGGGTGTGTCGGGAACCTGAAGAGGAAGAATCGTCGGAGTCAAAAGGGTAACCCCAAGAACCACCGCCACCGCCACCACCACCACCATTGTTGTTGTTTCCGCCGGTGGGTTGTGAAAAGGATGGAAGGGCGGAAAGGCGGAAGGGGTGAGAAGGAGTTAGTTTAATGGACGGAAAAGGGTGAAAATTAGCGGCGGGGAAATGTGGGAGTGACGGTGGATGGTGGCGGAGTTGAAGAGGAGTGAAAAGGGAAGAAGAGATGCAAGTGCAGGCCATGTTGCGGAGCATACGAATGAAGTTTCAATTTTTCTGTGAGAGAAGAAAGGTCAAGAAATGGAAATCAAATGAAAATGGTATCAAAACCGAATATTGAAATCTCAGGACCTTGACTGCACTTTTGTTAACTCACTCATACTGCTAATTTCCTCTGTTTATTTTTAATTTTGTGAATAAATTCTATTACTCGCACAAATTCTGTTTAGTGTGTATTTTTTAAATAATATGAGTTATTTTTTTATTTATAATTTTAGGTTAGCTTTTTTTTCTAGATAAAACTTAATCTAAAATATATATTTTAGTTTAAGTCAAAATTTTGTGTGAAGTAATTTGTTTCGCCAGTTCGATATTTAATACAATTAGACACACTCACTTGGCTAATTTGACACGCTCTTGTTTTGTCGAACAACACACTGCTTTGACACAAGGAATTACAACTCAACACATCACCTAATTCATTGTGTATAACCTATTTGCATTCATCATAATACTTAGTCAACTGAACACTTCGACATGCACACCATTCGTCATGATATTTGTAATCTGATTCTCAAGTATGCAGTGTTCCAACTTCAACTTGCCTTTAGCTACCTGCTCACGAAGATAATGGAAGCTCATTTTGATGTGCTTGCTTCTGCCATGTGTTATTGGATTCTTCGTCAGATTGATAGCTAACATGTTGTCGATCTTCATGGTAATAGCTCAATGATCCTTCCTTGTAATCTCTTCGACCAAGTTCACTATCCATGTTGCTTGACATGCACATAGAGAAGCAGAGATGTACTCAGCTTCACATGACGACAATGTC